TGCCTTTTTCTTTTTTAACTAACTATATTATGGTTTTTTTTTTTTTTTTTTTTTTGAGTAAAAGATGTGATTTTACTTTTACAGCCCCTCCTTGCAATTGGAAAAGTCCTTTTTGTGTTCTCATCCAAATGTTTTAAATAAGATGACTTACTCTTGTCCTGCTTATCTTGTGGTCTGAACATGACTCTTCAAACTTTCAGTATGATTAAAATATTTCTCTTAATAGCAGGATATTTTATGGTCTAACTCTTCATAGTGACAAAGTAGTAAATACAACCAAGAAAAAGAAAGAGGGGTCAGAGTTATAATACCCCAAATGAAAATGAACAGTTATTTCAGGGCTTTTGGTACTAGAACTCAGGCACTTGGATTTTATTACCTTATACTTTTTTTCTGCATCTCTAAACTTCTGTTTTCAGACCATCTTGTGTATACAGCAGGAGAGTTTCTACTGCAAGTGACAATCAGAGGTGACTATCTATATTTGCACTTAAAATCAAAGTAGTTCAACATGCAAATGGCTAGGGTCTAGCCCTTGGTAAGGGCCATGCTGGTGTACTGTGTTGTGATGATGGAAGCAGTAAATCAAAATTATGGAAATTTGCACTGTTGAAAAGCATGCTTTAGCTTTATTTTCAATTAAAAACACTGTTTAAAATTCCTGGTTCCATACATTTCTACTTATTCCAGATTGAAGAATGGTTAACAGGAATGAATGGTTTTGTTGACATTTTCACTTGTAATGTTTTTGCCTAAAAGAAATGCATTTATTGGGTGAAGTGTTTTGTTGTAATAGTTTGTGATGAGGCAGGTCAGGTTTTGTGCCTAACACTGGTGGGGTTTTTTGTTTTTTGTTTTTTTTTTTTCCCTAAATAACAAGAAAATTTTACAAACTTGTTAAAAATCAAGTACTAAAAGTTTCAGATTTAAGAAAGTAAAACAGAGATCAGTTGTTGTTTTAAAAGTAGCATCTAATAATTTTTTGGTCCATCTCACTTAGTATGACAAATTATGTATCTCATATCCTTGCTATCTTGAATCTAAGAAGTTGCATCTATAGATCATAAATCACAAAGCAAAACAAAACACCAACGAAATGTTTACTGTGTGAATTTAAGTCACAATTTCTCATGGAAATTTAATCTATTTCCCCCCTTTATCTTATAATTCCTACTCCCTTTGAAATTTTCCTTTTGTCTATAAATGTTTCAGATAAATCTGGATGGTCTCAGCCCTAATTGCTGTATATGCTCTGTGGTTTTCCTCTTGTAAAGGACAGAAGCTGAGGATACCTGCATCCAAATACATTTGGATGGAGTAAACAGATGCTTTGAACTGTCTCCCTTCCTTTCCTTTTTGAATGTTGCCAGATGTAGGTTCACTGGATCGCTTTTTATTAGAATGGTAGATATAGTCAAAGCAAAAATTCAGGGTTGTTATCCTTAAATTCACGTTTGTATATAATTCCAAAGACCAGTCCATGTTACAGTTAAAGCCCCAGAAAGCTGAAAAATTGGCCTCTCAGTCTGAGTTCTTTCCTTTTTGAAAGGCAATACAGAATTTAGGTAGTGAGTTGTCCTGAAAAATGAATCTGTAAAAAGTGTGACACACATACTGGAAGTCTGTAATTTCTACTCTAATTACTGCTAAGTCAAGAAAGTTCAAAGTACAGTGACTACTACATTTAGACTAATACTTTCCTTGTTGGCTATGGACTCATTGTCTCTAAATTATAAATTGAGAATATATTTGAAGTCTACAGATCTTGGGTGTGGGAGGACTGTAAGATGGAATAAGCACAAATTAAAACAAATATACCCTATGGAATTTCTGACATAAAATATCAGCCTCCAGCTTTGACACTTGGTCTCTAACCCTCAGAGAATCAATAGTTTCAGTTTATAAGAGCTGGAGAATGAGCAGTATGGAGGCCGAGGCATTCCAGAGTGATACCATCAAAAGGAAAGAAATTAAATAGTCAACACAAATTTCACCCCACAGTATTACTATAAGCCAGCCAACCACAGCAAAACCTGAGTTAGGGCTTCTGTCAGGAAAGTGTACTAAATAGTATTGCAGTATATGGCAAATACAAGGTATTCTTTCAATTGCTGTTAGCCCCTTAGCTATTTTCCCATCCTGCTATGGGAATTATTCTCAGTGCAGTTTATTTTATTTGGGTTGTCTTATGATTAATGGAAATATCTAGATTTTTCTAACATGCTATAAATGTCCTATTTGTTCAAAAGTTAAGCCTTATTGAGAGTAAAACAAAAATTACCTCCATTGATAGATTGCATTTTTACATTTAAATATTTTCAGGGAATAGATTTTTTAAAAAGTTATATGGCTCCAGGGTCATTGATTCCTGTGTCTAAATTAGCTCAACATTCATAGACTTGAGGAAAATGCAGGAAAAGCCTCTTTCTCTGACTTTTTGGGGAAACAAACTTGTTTGGTTTCCTATGAAAGTAATTTCCCAGTAACACTGTAAAGTGAAGATTTAATTATTTTTTTAAGAGATGTGTTGGACCTTTTTCCATAGTCAGGTTATCTGCCTTTACAGAAAATGCAGCTTGCTCCCCCCCCCCCCCCAACTATTTACTTTTTAGAGTGGGTGTTCCCTTCTACTGGCTTACTTGATTACAGTGGAGTAATCTCAATAATGGTTGTTTATTTCAAAATCAACAACAAGGAGCCACCACTAAACAGCAATAACACAAAATGATGGGCTAGTGTGTGGATTTTTATCTTGTTCCAGTCTGGGTGACTTTCAATGGTCTACAAATTCCTCAAAGTTCTTGTCAACAAGACTTGGATTGGGAGTTTCTGCTGATATAAGAATGATAGTTTTGTTTGCATGCAGGAAGAGATGTAGAAGAAACTAAATCCTCAAAAGCTTTTTTTTTTTTTTTTTTTCCTTTCAAAGAAAAAAATCCTCCATGGTAAATAAAATAAATAAAGCATCAGCATCTACAAAAGAAAGAAAATGTGGTGAGTTTTGCTTCACCTTGAAAATAATTTCCTGCTGAAAGAGATGGGAGAAGAGGGATTTCCCTGAGCCAAACTAGGAAGAAGGAGGGAGGGAAAAAAAAAAAAAAATTAAAGGCTCCCAATCAACTAACCTCAGGATATTGGCAAGGAGGAACAGGGTATCCACCTTAGCGAGTCTTCCCAGTCACCCCAGTCATCCCCAGGATTTTCCCCTTCACTGTGAGGAAGAACTATTTTTAATGCTAGCTTTGGTTTTGGTTTGCTCCCTAGGCCAAAGGGCACTTTGCAAACTCGCCTGGGGGGTGGGGATTTAGGGCAGATCGAGGAGGTGGGGGAGGGCTGCATTTTACCTGTTTGGCAGGCCCTCTTTTACTTAAAAAAAAAAAAAAGAAAAGAAAAAGGAAAAGAAAGAAAGGAAAAAAAGAAAAGAAAGAAAGAAAAAGAAAGGAGGGGGGCCCAGCTATCATTCTTTGCCCATGCCCTAGGCCCCCGCTACTCTCTCGCTCCTTTTCAAACTGTGGCGGCCTCACAAGCTCCTACTTTAAAAGGCCTGAGATGTTTTGCATGAAACCCTCACAATAGGGGTTGAGGGAATTGACAGTTTCAAAAACAAGGCGTTCAGTCCTTTCCAGCTGCCGGGCCGGCTCTCTCGCACCAACTCCTCGTTCCTCTCTGCTGGTGGCGTCCTCTGGAGCGCGCGGCCTCCCCCACCCCTCCAGCCTGAGCTCTGGCCAGCCCCACCCCGCCCCCAGGCTGTGTTTGTAAACAGGGGTCAGTGGTCGGGGCTGCAGGCGCGGGCTTTGGGCCTAGAGGCCTGTAAAAGGAAGGCAGAGGACAACTGAGCGGGCAAGGGGCTTGGGGCTTAGAGCTTCGAGGGGGATTTCGGGGTCCCATTGCCCCTCGCTAACCCCTGGCAGCCGAGTTCTGGGGGCCGCAGTGACCTAGACAGCCCTGGGCTCTCTGGCCCGTGCTACCGACACAAGAAAGATAGTTTAAGTGCCGCCATTTTGCACTGTGGCTAACAAATTTCTTTGTGACTCCCACCCCCACCCACCCAGATCTTGTTCTCCTCTGAACATGTGACCATTTTCCTCCCTGGGACAGAATAACCTGCACTCCAACTTGTCTAGCCTAGTGTTTTGGTCAGGCGGCCGCACGGCCTGGAGCTGAGAGCTGCAGGGCCTGAGCCTCCTCCCGCGGCCTACCTTCTAGGACTG